TCGCCTCTTCCATATTCATGACAACTTCACCTTACCACAGATTTTAGGGTATATTCTAGTCATGCATATGCTATTGTGCACTCCCACATGTTTTTTCTGCTTTCCTTTGTATATCCTAGTGGAGTTGCACTCGTTATGCTTAGGTAGAGTTCACATATTATGCGAGTCCTTACAGCAGAACTATTTTAGCCAGGGTAATGTCGCTACATACATATACTTGATATATGCAAGATGAAAATATATGAAAATTGCCCTGGTTGTCATTCGCTTTCCACTTTCCACTCTTCCTCTTTGCCCTCGCCGTCGCCTTTGGTGTAATGTACTGTGTGCAGCTTATGTGAAAACCACTTGAGTTTGGTCTATGCAAACACAACTATAGATTAGTTTTCATCTGATCAAAATATTTACGAAGCTTTCCTCTCCCAGCCAATTAACAGCAACATTTCGAGCGGGGGCGAAATTTAAGGCAACTTTAAGTCACATGAGAACACAAGTGCCCGTAATTCGGGCCGTTATTGAGCGTTCGACGGTGTGAGGCAGCAGATAAAATGCCTAGCGCCCAGCTGCTGATTGTTTCGCATGTTAAATACCCTAATGAAAGCCAGAAGTTCTATGAACTAACTGAATGTATTTGATTATATATATATATATATTTTGCTTAAGATAAGTTTTAATTTAATTAATATTAATAAAATTATAGAAAGTGTCTAATTTTTTAAATTTAATTCATAAAATATATGTTTAGATATTTTATTAAATTAATCTGCTTAAATTAAAATTTCTTTTATTTTTAATTAATATGCGTATATCATTTGTGTTATTAAATAATTTATTTTTCAATCATACAATATTTCTATATTTATTAAATTTATATTTCAAATCAAAATTATTTTAATATAAAACTTTCCTGTCAAATTGAAATGTATGTTATATTTTGTGTTTACTAAATTAGCTGCTAATTCGTTTTCGTGTGTAAAATACGCAAACTTTTTTAATATAAACTTATGTGTAAAAGTCATATCAAACAGTAATTTTAATTAAATACTTGAACTTTGCATTCGAACTTTTCTAAACTATTTACGAAAATAATTCCTGCAAAACGAAAATGTTTAATATTAAAACAGAGTTTGACCATAAACAGAGCAAAAGCTTCGACACGCCTGGCCGGACTCTACCGCCTCTACAATTGAAATAAACATTTTAGTTGTAGTTGCGTTCAGAATATATAGACAAATTGTGAGGACAAGTTGCCTGCGGCATCTGTCAATATGTTCACTTGGCAGAGTATTTGCGCATCGTTGCAGCAAGGTTGGGAAGTTGCTTTTACAATATTATGACAGCAGAACGGAGGAAAAAAATAAAAATTGGAAAGCCAAGAAGAACAAGGGCATTGGGAGACGTCGAAACAAGTGACTGGTGGCTGGTAATTTCCTCAATTTCGTTAAGCTTTTCTTGTTGTTCGACGTGGAGGCAGCAGCAGCTGCCCTTAATAAGGTGTTGTTGAGCAATTTAATTTTATTGCACTTATTTTTGGCATCTGAGCTGACATACAAACACACACACAGATACACCTCATACACATTTATAGTCCAGCTTTTCGGCAGTTGTCTACTTTAATTTTAATTGGCCCAACGCACGTGAACACAAATTGATGTCCTCGATTGTTGTTGTGCCCTCGCTTGTTGTTATTGTTTTCGCCATGTCGACATGTTGCTCTATCACATTTCAACTCCATATTCCATGCTGTGTGCTTTGGCCCTTTATTGTTTCGCATATAAATTTGCTCGACGCTTTTTGCGTTTGGTTTTTGCAATTTTTGGCCTGCAAGTCGTTAACATGTTTTTATTTAATGCCATTTTGATGTGGCGCAAAGAAATTTCCACTGGCATTTATTGCCGTAATTAAGTGATGAAAAATGTTTGAAATTCAGCTCGCTCATCCCCTTCACTGCGCTTGCCGCCATCAAAGGTCATCAGCATCGACATGGTTATAAATTACGAAGCACAGACCCATTCACAGTGCTCTTAAGTGCCTTTATTCTGTTATTTAGACTGCTCCAACGAATGCTCTAACGCATTCAGATCTTCAATTTATGACCAGCCAACATAAAGCACCTGACTTTTGCACACATTGCAACAGGCACTTTATTAAATGACTGTCTTTTTTTCTCAGTATATATTAAAATGCTTGAATGGAACAAATGAAGTCCAAATGTTTTCGTTTAGTTTGATTTCGTTTTGGGCTTTGAAAAGTCTATTAGTTTAATTGGATTTTCAATTGCTTAGTACGTGAAGCTTGTGAATTTGAAAAGGCATTTCTATACCCTGCATTTAAGTGTGTTTACGCCGGATATATATTACAGAGTTGAGAGTTTTTCTTTATTTTTTTATTTTTTTTTTATTTTGTACTTGCATAAAACTTTATTTGTTTTGCACTTAGTCTACATCTATAAAATGAGTTTGACATAGGCACACAAGAGCTTGCTCTTATTTTTAGATAAATATTAACTATTAGTTCAATGGAGTTTCAAACTTGAATATCAGAACTGTCTATTAGTACGCATTGGAAAAGGATTAATTTCATTATTAAAGTCAACTTTTATGCTTTGAAACTCTTTAGCTTGTTTTGACATTTATTTTTATTTTTAAAATAAAAATAATTGCCAGGGTATCCTTCATTAAACCATGCTGTCATATTTTTTTTTCATTTTCAGGCCAGAACTTAAAAGCTTTAGCAAGCTTAACAAAGGCATTGTTAAAATTCTTGAGCTGAAATACGTTGAAATTCCACTTGACATTTTTTATAAGAATTCTGCCAAAAATGTATGTTGGCTTTTCAGTTTAGCGCTTTTAAATCAGTTTGGCAAAAACTATTTATTTTTCAGTATAAGTTATTAAATAATATATAATTTATTTATATATATTTCCGAATTAATAGGCTGCTGATGCTACTGCTCTCCATGCTTTGCTCTCTCACAGCAAAATTTTTAATTTCCGTTCGTGATTCGCAGGATTAAAATTTGAACTGAAAGCCGGCTGCGTCTATCTAAGATTTAAAATTGAACTAGGTATTTAATCCTGCAGAGAGCTGCAGTTGCCAGTTGAAAATTCTGTTAAACTAATCACGTACGAAGCGGGAAATGCTATTGTAAAATATATGCACATCAGACAATTATTTCTAACAACTTTGACTCGTTTACATCTTGAAAGGATATATTTTTCCTTAATTTATGCCCTAACTTACTTTCGATCTCCGCACAGCTCTAGCTGAATGAAATAAAGTTGCACGCTTTAAGCACTGTGCCAAAAGACAGCTTTAAATTAATTTAACTTGAAATGCGGTCGATGTATAAGATGCTTAAAATTCAATACACGCACTTTGCAGCCAAGAGTCCTTTATAAACTTGATAACACTTGGGGCCTTGACGCATGCGGGCCACTGGGTGGGTGTGCGTGTGTGTAAGGGTCTTTAACGGAAACTGTCAGCCGGCTGGGAATTTTAATTTGGAACGCAAACAACAAACAACAAACATCAGACAAGGCGGCACTGAACACATCGACAGGCAAATGCTGTAAAAACATTTAAATTAACGTCTCCTTTAAAACGGTTGACACTGTGCGTGTGTGTGTGAGCATGTGTGTTGGAAAGGCATTCATAAAACGAGCCCATAAATGGCAAAAGGGTCACACAAACACAGACGCAAACACGCACGCACTGCCACACAGGCATGTCCATAAAGATAAAGACCATAACGTTGCCATAAACCGAAAGAGTCTTCAAGTGTGTGTGTGTTGTGTTGTGTTTGAGTTTTTTCTTTTCACTAGGTAATGTTGCTGATAGCCATGCAGAAGATATACCCGCACGCACACACACACACATACTTACCCGAAAATGGACATCGAGCTGAGTGAAAACAATTTTCACAGCTGGCCACTGGACGTATGCGTAATATTGCGCATACGCCTCAATGGCTGTCGACTGCAGCTGGTGGTTGCAGCTAGACGAGACGAACTTGCCGTATTTACAGACATTCATAATAAACCTTTATTCATCTTTATATAGTTAAATAACATTTGCATTTTTCTCGTACATTAAATGTATTTAAAAATGTTTTCATTTTGTTTTTGTTTTGTTTATCGTAACTTTTATAACTAAAATGCTTAGCTAAATAAATATTTGTGAACAAAGCTAAATAAAAATTTAGCCGCAGTTTGTAATATAAACAGTTTTTATTTTATTTTTCTATGCATTTATGCGTGTATTTGTTTTAGGGGCAATCGTTAGTAATTTTTAACTATTTGCTATAATTAAACTAAGCTCCGAAGGATGAGCGCTCAATATATTTATATACTTTCATATACTTTATTTTTGTTTTGGCAGAGATATGTTTATTTTACAGTTTACAACTAGAAGTACGAACTTTAAACTCTATATATACATACATATATATTGCGCAGTATTAATTAATTTATTATTAATAATACTTTTGCTGCTTTTTAAGTTTGTTTTCATTTAGTTAAGCGGCTTATTGCGAATGCTATTTGAAATTCAAATTCGATTTATGCTAAAACACATGATTTACAACAAAATGGCGACGCTGCTTGTTTACCTGTGTACATTTGTCTTCGTGTGTGTGTGTGTGTGTGTGCAAAATATTCACAACATTTGGGGCTCATTATAGTTGCAAATGCTTTGCGCCTGTTTGCGTTGCTAAGCGTGGCTCTTGGCTTCACTGAAATCAGGCGTTTTAGCTTTTGATTATTGTTTATCATTGGATTTAGCGCATAATATATGTATGTACAGAACTATATATATATATATATATATATATATATATATATATATATATATATATATATATATATATATATGTATATATATATACCGATTAGTTGCTATAGTAATACAATTAAATTTCATAAAGTCTTTCATTATTTAATTATCATAACATAATCATATATTAATCAATAGAATGCTTCAATCAGAGAACAGGTTCTCTCCCCCCTATATATCTCTCGCTCTATACAGAAACCTCCTTGGTATATTTGGAGCGATCGTTCAGATCGAGCACCAACTTGTCGGGTCGCTTGGGCCGACCGGTGCCGGTGCTGCCGCTCGTCTTGTCCGTTTGGCTAGTGGAGTTGTTCGATGCATTGGACACGTTGCCCAGCGACATGGTTGCCTCGGCTGTGGCCGTTGGCTGTGCCACGGCCTCAGTATCGCTATCCGCGCCGCCCGCCGGTCGTGCGCTCGACTTGTACAGCGCTATGTCATCGTTGGAGCGCGCCACCTGGGTAACAGCAATGCTGACCTCCACCTCGGCGCGATCGAGCAGCTCGCTGCTGCGCGTTTGGCTGGACAACGGCTGTGGCGCGGCCTGAGTGCAGCTGCCGCTGCGTCTGCGGCCAGCGGGGGCCGGCTTATCGCTAAGCCTATACTTACTTCTACAGTTATCACAAATTTGATACGAAATGCTGACCTCGGCCTCGAGCAGGTTGCGTGGGCCACGCTTGCAGCTGGTAGGCGGCGTATTGGTGGCCGCCGTGCGCACAGCGGGTCGTCGTCGCTGCGCCTGGTCCAGATCCTCCGACTGCGAACACATGCAGTCCAGCTTGATGTTGGCAAAGCTGAGGCTGCCCTCCTGCTGCGGCGAGCCGAGCTCCTCGCACGCGTTGCGCGGCGGACAGCAGTAGTAGTGCTCCTTGGACGCGTCCAGGCAACGACTGCAGATTATGTGCCCGTCGGCGCTGCGGCGCAGCAGCTGCTCTCTAAAATCATCGCCACTCAGCTCCGTATTGGTCGCTCGCTCCTCGTAGGCGGTTGTGGGCGTAGGCGTGGCCGAGGAAGGTGGCGTCTCGAGCACCATGGTGGGTATGCTGCCACGCGCCGCCGCTGACGCTGCCCTGCCATTGGCATTGTTGTTCTGCTGCAGCTGCTGGTTGTACTTCTGCATCTCGGCGTTGAGCGTCAGCAGCGGCAGCGCTGCCTGGCGTGCGGTCGCGGTAGCATGGCCGCTGGATGCATGTGTGCCGGCAGCGGCGACCATCATCATGCCACCGGGCGTCTTCAGACCATCCAGCAGACTCGATATGGTCATCACAGCGACGCCCTTGGGCGGCGCCATATCCTGTATGCGCTGGAGTTGCATGCTCAGCTGGCGTATCTCCTCGAGGGCCTCCTGGTCGGACAGCTTGGTCTCTGCAAAGGAAATGATTGCTGGATGAAGTCGTCGGGCCTCAGCCCCATCAATTACAGTAAACAGAGAAAAAAAGCAGAGAAAAACGCGTCGTTTACACGCCGCCGCAGCTTTCAACTGGAAAAGTTGCCATCAGCGCAACTTTTGCACTAAAAAAGTTGCGTATCGTGTCAAAAGTTGGCCGTGGCATAAGCAAGCGCCCCACCCAGCGAGGACAATTTAAATGCGTATTCCTGTAGTTGTGGCAGCCAACAAAACATGGCAACATGGAAATGAAAATGGACGCTGTTGCGGCTGTGGCTGTCGCCTTTCGAACAAGACAGCCTACAATCGGTGGGTGGGTGGTTCGGCTGGCTGTGCTGCTTGCTCGATGATAAATGGCCGTTCAATTCAACTGAAAGCCTGTCAGTGTGATTTAAGTGAGTCCACTCAGCGCCACTTGACGCGACTTTCAAATATATACAAAAAAAAAAGAAAAAAAAACCAACGTTGGATTTAGATTTATGGCTGTGAAATTAAGCGTGGGGGCAAGTGGGGCAGGAATTGAATTTATTATGTGCGTCTCTGGGCTACATATTTGCACAAAAAATATTTAAAATTCACCACACAAATACAAATTCACATGAATATAATCTAACAACTTTGTCTCTAACTGAGCGAGTGTATAACTGTGTGGGTGTGTGTGTGTGTGTGTGTGGCTGGGTATATTTGCGGCTTTGTTATTGTTTAATTTAAATATGCAAATTGAGGGAAGGCACAACAAAAAAGAATGCACGCCTTGAACGAGGGAGAGAGAGAGAGCGTCTGAAATTTAACGCACAATTTACGCAACCGCAAATGCGTCTTGCGGTCGTGCCGGGCAACGTGAAATAGAAATACGAGCAATAAAAAATTAAATATAAAAAGAAAGCGCCAAATGAGAAAAGGTCGCGCTCATAAAGCATTAAAATATAAAGCGTCGCTCAGCCTCCCAGCTACCCACCTACCCAGCCGCCCAGACACTTTTCAGCTTGGTAATAAACTCCAATGGCAGCGGGAATTAAACGCGGCCTAGACAACAAGCCGCTCGTAACAGTTTGGCCGACGCCTCCGCCGCCCACAACAACTGTTTTCTCAGCGACTTAATCATTTGACGTGCCACGCCCACGTGTCAAAGAACAAAATACCAACTCCACCTGCTCGCCCGTGGCTCGGCAAAAGTTTAGTTTCTATCTAATTTGGACCACCTCAGCTTCAGAGTCACAGATTTGCTGTTTATGCCAGCGACATCCTATCAAAAGGACATCATCAGCCATTGAGCGACTTCGGGGAATAAACCCTTAACAAATTTGCCGCCTCTTGTGTAGTGGCTTCTAAATAAATAAATGTAACGTTTGGCATCTTTGAGGAAGTTAACGCTAGGCTGATTCCTGCCACAAACAAGCGAGCACTCAAGCACACTCGCCGCCCGCCCACGCCTTTCTCTCTCTGTCTCTTTCTGCTAAGGTTAACCGCATCAAGCACGGAGGACATTTTGCGCACATAAATCAAAGCTCAAGTTGACATAAGATATCTGCGAATACTTTAGCATATTCATATATATATATATGCGTATGGCTAGACAGGGGATGTCGGCATTAAGCTGACGCCACTCGCAATCAGTTTATTTTTTAATTCGCTCGACAAAGTGCCATAAATAAAAGTCAAAATGCCACAGATGAGTTGACTTAATCAGCATCCTTGAACTGAGCAAATGCGTAGCGTAGCAATTGTGGCATATAGATCATTTGTCAGACGTCTCGTTAGGCGCTGGCATCGATATGCAGTCCGGTTTGGGTAATGATGCAATTACTTACCTGCCGAAGTGGTGCCAGCTGCCGGCACCGTGGACGTTGTCACCGAACTGGGATGGGCAAAGGTGCGCACCTGTGGCCGAAAATTGAATTTGGCACCCGACGCCTTGGCGCCCATGCCAATGTTCTCCTGATGCGATTTCCCGCTGCGCAGCACAATGTATACCTGTATGTTGGTTGGCGAAAGGTAAATGGCAACAGCTTCTAGCTAGTATTTGCAATAGTCGTTACGCACCTTGCTGCCAAAGATGAGTGCCAGCAGCAGAGTGACCGTCAGCTGTGTGTGACAAAAGAATATGATGTACAGCAGATCCGGATTGGCGGGCGACTGCAGAAAGAGCCTGTCCAGACCCAAGGAGGGAGAATAAGCAGAGACAGCAACAGAATCAAATGGAATCGTCGAATATTGAGTCGAGTCGAGACTTGGTACTTGATACTTGGTACTTACATGGAGACATTGAGGAAGCAAGTGAGCAGAAACTCGTTGTATATGGCCATTGATATGAAGCGGCTCTCGTTGAACTCTGACGGCGCCTTCCTGACCATGATGCAGAGCCGGACGCCCCAGGCCAAGAATAAAACTTCCACTGTTCGGGCATATGAAAATGAGGCAAGAGAAGTGAATTCAGTTGCGAGTCCTTTGTGCATTTGCAGGGCTTTTAACCTGGGTTTGCTTTGAATTTTAATTAAAAACTTCTGGATTCCACGTGTGCGTTAGCTGCTTAATTAGATGGCAATGCCTACGAGCCATCTAATATTTTTTTTTTTATTTCTTTATTTTGTTGCAGCTTATTGTCTTAGACTCTATAGCGCATTTAGCTCTAAACCTTAACTAATGGGAGGGCAGATATGCCAATTATTCTGCACTTGTAGCTACTATCTTAATTAGTTCTAATATTGTCTAGAGGATGCAATCTCTTCAGTCTTCGCCTATTGTTGTTTATAGCCAGGTTGCTTGCGAGATGGTTAGGATGCGCTGCAAGTCTGTCCGCGTATCTTGAACTGTGTCGCCCAATGAGTTCAGCAACTGTGGGAATTGCTAAATCCCTATGTAAGACTGAGTTTCTTACAAACCAGCTGGCTCCAGTCCATCTGCGTAGTGCTTTATTCTGCAGGGTCTGAATTTTGTTCCTTGTAGTCTTCGCCGAGGAGCCCCATAGAGAGATACCATATACGAAGGTTGGGACAACTATTGCCTTGTAGATGGCGGCCTTGCTGCTGTAAGACAACTTGCTTGAAGCTCTCAGCATCCAGTCGAGGGTTTTTAGCTTGCTTTTGCATTTTGAGGTTACTTGACTTATGTGCGCTTTAAAAGTCAGCCTTCTGTCAAGAGTGATACCAAGGTACTTTACTTTTGAGGCTTTGGGAATAGTGGGCCCCAATGCAACGCTTGGGCAATCTCCTCTTCTAGTGGCGAAGGTAGTATGTACAGACTTTTGTGCATTAATGGTGATACACCACCGTTTTGCCCAGCGTCCGAAAGAGTCCAAATATTTTTGTAGTGAGTCTGAAGCTTCTTGCGCAGATACGTGACGTGATAAGATGGCGGTGTCATCTGCATAGGTCGCTATGAGTACTGCATCTGTACTTCCTATATTTGGCTCGGGAGTTGGCATATCTCCTGTGAATAAAGTATAAAGTGTTGGGCCTAGAACACTACCCTGTGGTACTCCAGCCATAATTGGTCTAGTCAAGGATACTGCTTGCCCCCTTGACACTTGGAAGGTTCTTCCAATAAGGTATGAGGATAGCAACGCGAAAAATGGGGCTGGAAGGGTGGTCCTCACTTTCTGCAGCAGTCCCAGGTGCCAAACTCGATCAAACGCCTGTTTGATGTCTAAAAAGACGGCAGAGCAGTACATCTTTTCTTCAAAGGCTCCAAGGATATGGTGCACAACTCTGTGAACCTGTTCCGGTGTTCCATGCTGTCTCCTGAAGCCAAACTGATGGTTTGGAATGGCCTCCTGGCGTCCCAGATGTGTCAGTACTCGTTCCAGAAATATTCTTTCGAATATTTTGGAGAGTACTGGCAACAGGCTAATTGGTCTGTACGACTCAATTTCTCCCACGGGTTTGCCAGGCTTAGGAATCATCACAATCACGGCGCGCTTCCAGCAGGCTGGAAAGTGCCGGATGCGGAGCATGGCGTTGTACACCATAGTTATGTAGTCTATGGTGGAGTCAGGCAGTGCTCTAAGGACTCTGCCGTTTATTAGATCATATCCAGGGGATTTTTTTGCCTTCACTCTTCTGATGTGTTCAAGAACCTCTTCTTTTGTACATCCAGTTATCTGGTCTTCAGCTGGGAGGGGCGAGAGAACGATGTCTTCTGTTGCTTCGATTTCTGAGGCCTCTGCGGTAATCACCGGCGTGAATTGGTCTTGAAGGTGGTTTGCAAAAGCCTCAGCTTGAGCTTCGTCTCCAATGTGCCAGGAACCAGAAATGCTCCGAATGGGATGACGACGTATTGGCTGCCGTTTGAGCTTTCTTGTAAATTTCCATAATTGAAACTCTGCGTCAGTGGGCGATTCAGCTCGTACCAGCGCATCGCTGATACACCTCTTTTGAAGCAGGGCGAGAGCAGCTTTAAGATGCCTCGTGGCTTCGTTGTACATGGATTTGGCATCAGGCGTGCGTAATCTTAACCAGCGTCTCCTGGCCCATCTTTTGTGTATTAGTAGGTGTTGGGCCTCCAAGGTGAGGGGGATGTTGTACGGAGACTGTTGTCTTGTTTGGCAAGATGGTGGGGCGGCTTGGTGCGCAGCTTTGACTATTTCTTCCTGCAGTTTGTTTGCTGCGTAGTCCACGTCTTCAGGAGTGTTAAGTTCCATTTCTATGTGCAAAGAGTAATGGAGCTCGCGCCTAAAGACTCCTAAATCTGATCCTGCTGGCAGTAGTTGTTTCCTAATGGGCAAGGGCTGTGGCTGCGCGTGGATTGTGACTATTAGTGGCAGGTGGTCAGAGGATAGGTCCAAGGATTCTTCAATGGTCAATTGCCGGTCACAGATGCCTTTGTAGACAGCGAAGTCGATTGCCGAGGGCCTGTGTCCATTAATTGGGTAACGGGTGGGGGCTCCAGTCGCCAATATGCTGAATTGTAAGTTTTGAATCGCCTCAAATATGACTTCTCCGCGACGATTCGCACTATTGCTTCCCCAAAATGGGTGCCATCCATTCCAGTCGCCGCCGATGAGGGTCTTATTCAACCTTTGGCCTAGAACCTGTTCCATGTGATGATCACACAGACCAGTGTTTGGCGGAAGATAAATTGACGCAACTTCGATCGCTCCAATAGACGTAGGCAGGGTGATGGCTGAGACCTGCATTGTTGCGTTGCAAATTGGCAGTAAAGGTGTATGCGGTATTGTTGCTCGTATGAGGATTGAGGATCCACCAAAGCAGTTTGCTCCTTCACCATGAGCCTGATAGTGTTCGTATCCGAAAATTTGTGTAGTGGGGCACTCATGAGTTTCTGTTATTAACATTATATCAATGTTTTCTTGTGAGAGAAACGCAGCCAGTTCCTGAGTCTTGTTTCTCAGGCCATTGGCGTTCCAGATACCCACACGTAAAGCCATTATTTGTAGGCAAGCTTGGTTATGATGGCCATTAAACTGTTTAGCATGGTTGCTTGTTGGGATTGTACTTCTCGCATCGCTTTGAGCTCGGCATTAATTGCGTCAAACTGACGTTGTTGTTGCTGAAGCATTTCAGTGAACAAAGTGTCACTTGTGGTATTCTTATTTGACGGTCCACCTCTAGCGGCCTGTGCGTAAGAAACACCACTAATAGGCGTTGCAAAGCTCGTGGCTTGGGTAATGCTCCGGGGCCTTGTAATTTCGGAAGCAGTACTCGGACCCGTAGACGGTGTTTGTGTGGGACTCCTTTTTTGTGCTGGGGATTGCAATTTGCGCAACCGCTTGTATACTTGGCAGCCCTTATAGTTGGCTGGGTGCTGTAACTCACAGTGCACACAAGTTGGTGCCTGGTCCTTTTCGCGGGTGCAGTCTTTGGATGCGTGTTTCCCGGCGCAACGCACACATCTGGGAGCTTTGTGGCAGTAGCGTTGTGTGTGTCCAAATTCTTGACAGCGATGGCATTGTGTCAGGTCGTTGTATCTTCTTGGCAGTTCCACTGTGCAGCGTTGCCTGCAGACAACTCGAATGTCCAAAATTTCTTTGTTGTTGGGGGCCTGAGCCACGTCAACAAAAAATATATTTAGCGGTGTTTTGTCCATACGGCTCAGTGGGTTGTGCACATTTGTAATTGTGTGGCCTTTGGTTTCCAATTCCTTTTTAAGTAGTGTTGTATCAGTGCTGGAGTGAAGCCCTTTGAACACGACTCTATATGGTTTGTCCTCCTTAAGCTGGTAGCAGTGGAACTCCAATTCCAGCTTAGTAAAGTGGTCTATAACTCTGCGATAGTCCTCACTGCATTGGGTTAATACACCTATGTTATTCTTCTTTGGCTTAATTACGTATGATTTAGCATCAATTACTTTATCTATTATCTGTTGAAGTAGGGCCACAGACTTGATGTTTGGACACCATATGGGGGGCGGACGAGGTTTCGGTGTAGTTTGCTGGTCGGTCAATACTGGGGCTTCTGGAGCTACAGGTGATTCGCTGTAGTCTTCATCTTCTTCTACGAGCAGTGAAAATCGATTTTCTGATATTAATGCTGCATTGCTGGTGCTTGGTTCGTCGAAGATGAGCCTTTTCTTGATGGTTTTTGGTGAATTTGGCTGTTTACGTTTCGTGTTTTTGTTGTTAGTGATGCCTTGCACGGAGGCGATATCTATTTTTGAGTTTATTGGCATGATGGAGGCTTGCCTATTTGCCATCACAACGTTAAGCTGGGCTTGCATTTCTGCATTTACCTTTACGGGTGTAGCGAGGTCATTGACATTAGATGTCATCGCGGATTGTGCTTTTGAGTGCAGGCGCACTCGCGCCAAGCGACGAAATTTCGTAAATTGCAATTAAAGCAATTGAGTTACGCGGAAGCAAGCGATAAGAAAACGCTGCGTGTGCGGTTTTTGTTGCTGTTGCGTTGAAGAATGCACCGCAAAGTTCTATTTTTAGAACTCTGCAGCAGTAGAGCTTAAGCGAAGGCTGTTCGAATTCACGTCTTTACAGGTCGAACGACTGATCGCGATTGCTGATATTATTGATAATATTATTTAAAATATTTTCGAGATGTTCGCAGTGAAAGAACATATTAAGAAAGACTTCTCCCACAGACACACACTCAATTTCAATTTTGCTTACGCCAAACACGAATCTGTTGCATACTTTTCAGCGCAAAGTAGCAAAATTAATGCACTCAGCACGCAGCGCTGTTTGCAGCGCTTTTAATGCGCATTTCGTGCTGTCCCATGTGCACTATATTCAAATTAAGTTATTTATGCACTGATTTCTGCTCTCATCGCAGTACAGGCGCCGTCTGCCCGCGCTGTATTCTGTATAAAAAAAAGTGAATTGATATTTTGTCCTGTTCTTCTGCGGAACAATATTCGTATATATTATAATACGATTGAGTGAAATATAAGCTCTATGAAGCAGGAGTGCACAAAGAAGAAACTGTTGCTGCTGTCAACAGCAAATATATATATGTGCTTGGGTCAGCATGAACAGCTATAGACATATCATTTGTATATTTCTAGTTAAGTTGCTGAAACTAGATGCAGCTTTAAGGCAAATACTAGCAACGCTTTTGGTAGCAGTAGAAAATAAAGCGAACTGTAACATAATATCTTACTATTGTCGTTGAATCTGTTACGAAATGTATATGCTTAGATTTGAAGTGGGTATTTGAAAAGCAAACTGTATTTAAACCTGCTCCGTAAAACTTGAAAATATTTTCGATTGCTATTGTTATCTTATAGAAATATAGTTCTATGAAAAAGAATCAGTCTAAAAAATCGAATTCTATCGCCTGTTTTCAACCTTTGTCTTTTTATTACTTATGTTGCTGCCAATATTTTAAGAAAAATATGTTCCCCTTATAAAATTGAAATTTGCTGGTTGTTCTATTGGACAGATTGCCAAGACAAATAAATTAAGAAAAATCTTATTGTTTGCCCAAAACAATGATATATTAGTTGTTAAAGTATTTGAATGACCCTATTTGTATTAAATAGAAATTTCAATAAGAGCAATGAAATGTGAGTGCGCTCATATTACTCGTGCGCTCATATTACCCGAAACTCGTGGCAGTCGTTCGGGTTTTTACTCACCCACTAGTAATGCTTAAACCTGTGTCAAATATAAATTTAAGCAATTTTTTATAAAAATTTGAATTTCTTATATAATTTTCTGCTGCTGCAACTGAAGACAGCTCATGAATTGAGCCACAAATTTACTGTAAACTTATTGAAATTTTATCTTATCTAACTTGTTAGTAACTTAAAAATCACTGATTTTAATTCAATATATTTCAATTCATTTCGTAATGTAAACAGCTGCAATTCATCAGCTATTCGCGCTGAAATCTATTCTTAAAGTGGCTTGTGGGATTCCTTTAAAGTTCGCTGGAAAAACGACTTCACTTGCATTAGTTGAATGGTAACTTTTGCACTGTTTGGATGACTTGAAATTTGTGAATAAGCTTAATGCAGTTCCCGGAATGCCTTTTGACGCAACTCACACAAAAAGTCGCATTTAGCTGCATTGGCTGGCTGGGCTGTCCGGGCTGTCCAGGCTGCCCGGGCTGCCTGATGCGCAACACTCTGTGGCCTCGTGGCTGGATTTTATGTTAAGCCAGCGGCACACACATACGTTGCCTATTGCCGCCCAGTTGTCCCGGCTACGCTGGCATTTCAATATTTTTCTTTTGTCATGGCACACGCTGCGTATGCGTAATACTGCCAGCAATGCCGTTCTATTTGGCTGTTTTTTTTTTTATTTTTTGCAGCCTCGCTTTGTGTCTGGTTATTCGTGTGTTGGGCATGATTTTAAGTGGTTTCGGGATCAATCAAATGTGCTTTATAGCGTTTTGTGTCCGGCCCATCGAATTACTTTGAATCGCAGTCTCTGTTTACTTACTCGAGGTGAATGTGTAGTCCCACCAGTCGGTTTTGCATAGAAACGCTTTCAGGTCGTCCGCCGTGCGTCCCACCACAACGTCCGGTGGCGATACCAGAGTGCGCACAAGCAAGCACGTCCCAATGGCACCGCAGATGATGCCCAGTCGCTTCAGCAGTGCCGCGTCCGTGATTTTGACAGCCTTCGCCGAACGCACGCGAAATATTACCGAGATGCTGTGCGAGAAGAAAATGTATGCATGGAAATGGAGCTTTAAGCGCTGCCCACTTACCGCCAGGTTTTCAGCATCAAAGCACCATAGGTCAGGGAGAAGCCAATCTCCCGCAGCCAGATACGAGCCGTGCATGTGTAGAGATTCGGGTTCGGGTACATCACAATGTTCTGCAAGTGGGCAAATATGCAAATAATTTAGTCCACTCACATGGCCGATTGTTGTCCTCAGACGTTCGTTCATTCGTTCGTTCGCTCGTTTAGCCACTTAGAATTGCAAAACTGAGCTCAGTTTTAGACGCAACGTCCTGTGACAGGAAGAGGAACCAGCAAAAGGAATACGAACACGAAACAGGAAAGGCAACCTGTGATATTTTCTTTTTTCTGGCTCATGTTTTGTTGCTATTCGAGCATAACTAAAGTCAACAATTCTATATTTCTGGCAATATATTTTCGTTTATACAGAAATATTAAAAAAAAAATGAGAGAAGGCAGCTCTCAACAGGAGCTCTGCCTGCTGACTCTTGCTCTCCAAGCACACAGTTTAAAAAATCATAAGACATTGTAGCTTGGCCCTAGATGAGGCTTCATTCATTATGTGTTGTTGCCTCGCTACAGATAAATATCACAACATATCTCTTTTGTCTGCTCATTTTATATAGCTATCTGTGCTGACTATATATACACATACATCAAGTCTCAGTCTGTGCGCGTGTTAAACGATGAACTCTCGTTTAAAGTTCTTTATTTTGCTGCCACAGTGCTACATTATTCATGTGTCACGAGCCATGAATCAATCAAATTAAATTGTAAAGTAATCCATTTGAATTGCGTCTGGTCACTGCTACGTGCGGCTGCTGCAGTGTATAGAGAAATATGTATTCATAGCTTCATCTACCTGCCCGCTGTGCAAATGATGAAGATGACAATTTGAACCCCATAAAGAAATCAATTTAGACCTAAGTAAACTTTTTTACCTATGCGTAAAATAATATTCAATAAATATATGAATATGTGTGTATGCCATATTTTATCTATATTTATGGGGTTATTTAATATTTATTTATTTAATAATTATTTATGAGAAAAATTTGAAATAGGAAATAGAACAAAAGCAAAGTCTTGTGTTTTATTACTTCCGTTAAGCTGAGTCAATTTTAAATATTTAATATTTATATTTTGTGCACTTTGTGCTATTGACTACGGAAGTATGAAAACCTATTTTTGGAAAATTTATAAACATCTTTTCGGGGTCTCATATATGCTCATATACTCGGCCAATGTGGCTTATGCTTGAAATATATAACTAAAGGCCTTATTAAATTTATAAATAAATTTAATTAACTATAAGTTTTGTAAACAAAACTAATGCCAAAAAGTTTTTTTGATTGACTGGCTATAAATAAATGAGTTTTAATATTTAATGCCAATCATCTAGAGATAGCCAGATATTTATTCATACAGTCAGCTCAACTGTTTATACGATAGTTCGTCAAACAATCAGACTATCAATCAGTCCGGGAGTCAGCCAGTCAGTCAGACAATCAGTCAATACGTTAACCAATCAATCAACTAGTCAATCAGACAGTCAGATTCAAAAGTCAACTCGATCGTTCGTCAATCAATCAGTCAGTCAAACACAGCACCTAAACGTCCTTTATAAAAATAGACATTCCATTCATTCAGTATTTAGAAATCAGTCAATAAAACAGAAAATCTCCTTTTTTCATGTTCTAAATATAAATGTTTGCTTTGTCTGCAGTGTTCGAGCTCACTAAATTGTCAACTGAGCTGTGTGGCGTTAGCTAGTTTTAAGTCAGATTAAGTATATAATCGTGTTAGCTTACCGTGCAATAGATGAAGAAGGCGCCCAGTGCGATGACCCGTAAAAGCGCTGGGCTGGCAGCGCGCACAACCTGTAATTGTTAAATACTTATTATAAAGTTGTTGAATGGAAGATTTGGCTGATTTAAGATTAGACTCGCGTCGATTCGGGCTGCTGTGTGCTGTTGCTGCTATTAAAGTTAAGCACGTAGCTTAGTTGAAATTCAAATTGGAATCGTCTCATTTGCACAATTGCGCACAGCGCAGCAGAAGCCACAAAGAGTTCACCTAGATCCAACTGCGAGCTAGTCGGAGTCACACTTGGCTGCTTGTCAGACTGAGAGAGGGATTTAGCAGCATTTAATTAGTTTTGGACGGACAAGAGAAGGAGATAGAGATGCAGACAGAATCGCATTTGAAATAAAAACAGTTTAGTTGGCTGACTGCGCTGATTCGCACCACTGAGACACAGACAGCAGCCAGCAGCAGTGGGGATTTAATAATTCACTCTGATTACGTATAGAATGCGCACACACACACACACACAACTCCTCGCATGGACATGGCAAAGTTCAAAACGGTTTAAAGCTATACGCCAGAGACAGTTGGCCGTACAGTCTGCTCCATGGACGCACCTAATGAGCGCTCGAGTAACACCGGACAGGCCGCAGTGCAGTCTGGAGCCGGTTGATATCTCCCAGTGAGTGTTTGCACTTCCGTTTATGCGGCACAATATCCGTTGCGGAGGACACGGACACGCAGCACGTACAAAATTAACTTGAAACTAACAATGCTAAGCAGCTTAGCATTCCAATGACAGCAGCTTAGGTTGCTGGCCTCTCGCCCACCGACTAAGCTATTTGACAGCGGCGACTTGCCGACGGCGCTAAAGACAGCTTCTCAAAAGCCAGCCCAACTCCCACACCCACTCCCACTCCCAGTCTCTCGTGTAGCTTAGAAAAACTTCTACTGGCAATTTAAACAAACGTGGAGAAAAGTGAGAAAGCACTAGCTGCCACTTAATGCAGTGCCAACAAAGTAATTCTATTTGGGCGGCGGCTTTTGTGGTACGTGTGCTGGTCACCTACCTTGACTTGTTGATAGCGAAATGTGAACCAGGCGGCCGGCGGCAGCAGACCGATGACAATGCAGGCCAGCGCCAGAATGCTGGAGCGCATGGGCCAGTTGAGGGCCGCGATGCAGGGTGAGGCGTCTTCGCACGAATCGCAGCCCTCGGCACAGGGCAGGCACTCGTATTCGTTGTTGCTGTTGTACGTGGAGTTCTTGCCCTGCGTAAATGAGAGTCGAGTTGTAGTTGGGTAAATATTAAATGAGTCTGTTTCTTTTTTTTGTTTTTTTTTTTTTTTTTTTTTGGGGCTAAGTGTTGCCAATTGCTGCAACCAGTTGACTCAGCCGTTTTTGCCTTTGGCCCCTGCATGATAATGGCAATTTATGCCCGCAACGTACCAGCATCAGTTTCTCGTACTCCTCCTCCAGCAGGCTGCCATTAAAGAACTTGTGCAGCGAGACAACATCGGGAAAGTAGAAGCCCTTGCGGCACAGGCATTTGTAGGAGCCGCGCCGAAAGCCCAGTCCCATAATGGCCTCGCACTGCGGTTGCGATAACAGAGTGGGTGAAAGTGGAATTGAAAGTGAAAGTGAAAGTGAAAGCAATTGACTGCTGATTGCTGCGTAGAGTGTTTTAAGTACCCACCATGGTGGTGCGCTGTTTGCACTTGTCGGTGCCGGCGAAAATGTTCAGCGGTCGCTTAGTGCCCGGCGTGTGCCGCTGCGGGCACTGGTCGATGTCCACGCGCCGCAAGTCAATATCAATGCCAGATGTGCCCCTGCAAGCAGACGGTTGCTGATCAGTGAAGGCAGTCAAAAATTGTTTCTTTTTTTTTATTAATTTGTCAGTTTAACAATCAACTGGGCGGCACTTAAGCCAAATGGCGCCATTTATAAAAATCAATTCAATAAAACGTGCGCAGCGCCAGCGGCTCAGATATTTATGTATGCTTAAGTAAATAAGTGTCTGGGTGTGCAGACTGAAACGGGGTTAGGGCCAGTCCATACCAGACCAAAAGGCCATTCTCTGCCCAGCCACTGGATCGCATTCTGTGTTTCTATAATTTTTTCTTACTGTAATGCGAGCGATAACAAACAATAAATTCCGCCTTTGATTGCGCGCTTGGATGTGTGTGTGTGCGTGTGCGTGTATGTGTGTGCGTAAGTAGTAGATGAAAATAGCAAGGATAAAGGATAAAGGCCAGGCGGAAACTAACAAGCGTGTTATGGTTCCGGTTTCGCAATGAAAATGAACGCAAAAAATAGTAGAAAATTATTTTCTTGTCGTTCCGCTGTCGTTGCCTGCCTTGTCGTTTCACAAAGACATAAAGCCATGAAAAGGGTGCACTACGTCCGACAGCTAGCACAGACGACTCGCACCCGCACTCGCATCACAGCTTAGAAATTCTATAGTAAGACACCGCCATGGGCAGTCGGCAACACCCAATTACATGCATTCCCAGGCAGGGCAGCGCTGAGCGACCAGGCAGCCGGAACACATCTAGAATTTTGCGCATAATCCAAGCTCCATCGGCACAGTGGGTCAACAATTATAGTATTATATATATACATGTTTTTAAATATATTAACTAACATATAAACAATATTTTTTAACGATTTGTTCTTATAGAAAATTACTAAATAACTAACAATCTTTGAGTTTTGGTTTGGTATGGCTTTGATTGATCAAATTTTCATTTGATTATTGCAATAATAATATTCATTTTTAGAGCTTACATTTTGTATTAATTTCTATAATATAAGTAGTATTGATTTGTTAATATATTCAGTAAATAAATTTATATGTAAGTACTTGAATTGAAATTCAAATTTGTAGTTGAAATAACATGAATAAAATCTGTTTTATTATTTGTTGTAGCGACAATTTGAAGTATTTTGTATTTCGCACATATTTTTTTAGTGTCTGCATAAATATGAACTATAAATAGTATAATTATATTTTGATAAAAAACTACATAATGTTCAACAAATATATTCATGTGCAATTTGAATTTCAATGGCGTAAAAAAATCATGCGGAGGCCCAATGTCTCATGGAATTTCAGCTGCCCGCTCGAGCGTCCCGAGCGTCCGACTTCAGGCGGTAGACCTTTTTTTCTTTTGGCCAACACACACGCAGTTGGCTCTAATATGTGTGGGTGTCCCTTGCCGTATAGGGTCCGAAGTTTCATGCGCCTGTCAGTTAATATTGACATATCAGTTTGTATTTATTTGATTGTTTCTGACAACTTATTGATTGCGAAAAGGGATAACTGGGCAGAGTATGGTACGTAGCCGGACTACACAATGGCCATATTACATTATAATAATGATTATGTTAATTCTCCTGCAGTTGATCCCAACGCCTTTGTATGTCGCCCGGGCTGGATCCCTTTTTTCAGCTTTTTCTTCTTCTTATTTGCTTGCCTTTTATTTGCTGTGGTTACGTTTTGTCAGCGTTGTTGCTATTGTTGTATTGCTGTTGACAGTTTTGAAGATAATTTGTAAACGGATATCGGAAAATAAGCTTATCAAGCTGACCGGGTATCTGGCCGAATGAGTTCTGTGCGGCTCATATTGATTTATTAGTTTGCCGCCTTGCCTGTTGTCTTCTACGTGTCCACGGAAGAGGAAGTATCCTGGCCAATTTAATGGCCACAGCCGCCGTCGCTTTGCTGATGCGGCACTGTGCCCGGCTTTGGTGGCGTATACTTGATGCGCCTTTGATTAAGTGTCGTCCAATGCCTACAAATGAGCTGTCAATTAATTGCTGTCGTCAGATATTCCTGTTGCCTACGCTCCATTTAAACGGCACGGCCAGCGAGCCTCTTGTGCCTGTTGATTTTCAATTTTGTTGCGAAAAACCATGCGGATTTCAAGGATCTTATTAAGCTCTTTACGACCTTTCGCCTTGTGCTGGTCTGGCTCACTTCTATTAGGCGTTCAGCTGATTAGCATAATTGGTTTTCCTCGACTTCCACTGACTTGAAGACAGTTGGCTTCATTCTTCCAAAATTGTCTAATTAAACGCCGGCCTAACGGCGACAACAGGCCATTGAAAGTTTCGAAACACTTCATTTGCACACATTAAGCGAATATTTATATTGTTGTCAGTGCGTTTAAAGTAAGTTTGAAGTAAATATTTGGCTAGACAACACCAACAAAGCACACACAAGGTTACAGCATGTGGCAGCAACGAATACTTAAGCCGCGCCAAGCACGTGCACAGCACACCGTCTACGTGCATAGCTAAAATGCATTTTCGCAGCTTAAACAGAAAAACAAGAGACACACACGCACGAAGGCTAGTATTACTATAGCACGTACGCTCCATTTTAAAATTCTGAGAGCTAATACGCTGCGCCCCCGCGCCGCCGCCTCGCAAAGCTGTGTGCGTGTGCGTTATTGTCGAGTGCATTAAGTTTGCTTTGCTGCTGCTTGTGCGTATTTTGGCTATGGCCACAACAAATATATATACTGGCATAACATACATTCATAGATGTGTGTAGGTGGCATATGCCAGTCCCTTTACTGCTCAACGCTCGCAATCAGTTTGTAAACAAGTCGCCTGTTTGGATTTGTTGCCGCATTACGTATACGCCATGTACGCTGCCATTTGCCAATATATTTCTGTGTGAGCGTGCGTGTGTCTGTGAGCAACGCCATCTAATGCACATAATCAGCTTCACTTTTGCAGTTTTCACCTCGCTGACATTGTTGGTAAGCCAGCAAAAATTCGGTCATCAGGCCTAAAGTTGATTTCCAAATTGTGTGCAGCCCGAAAATTTCACATTTTCTAGGTGAGCCTACGTTTGCCGGTCGCTAAGCCAAACAACCTACAGGTCAGGCCATTTGCATGTTCATATAAAATGGATAGCCGAGGGCTAAATAAGGCTGGCATCGCTCCATGTTAAGCTGACCGACAACAGCAAATATAATGGACAAATAAGAGAAATATGAAAGCAAATTTCTAGTATTTTGTAGCTTTATTCATGCTATGTGCATCTGGTTGTTGGCTTCAGTTTCAAGAGAGTGCACTCAGGCTTGAACTGTTTAATTTACGACGAGTTGCCTGCGCCCCGATGACGATTGACTTTGCAACGAAATGCAAGTTGCGTATTAGCCTGAGCCGGACTTTTGGTTGCAATTTTTAATTAATTTCATATATTTTACAGGCATAGAGCAATTTATGATTAAATGGCAAATCCTATAGAGTATTACAGCAACTGAGTGTGTTTGATAACTTAAACAACAGCTGCAAGAGAATTGTGGCAAATAGTATTACTCTTGCTGTGTCACTCTTTAAGTTCCTGGCAATCAATTTTAGGAATTTCGTGAATCAATTTAAAAATAAAACTGAATAAAGTCGTGTAAAGTAAAGCACAAAGTGTTCAGATGAATGTCATAAAAGCAAATTTTAAATATTTTCTAGCAATTTAACTCTTGCCGTTGATATTGAATCGAAAATATTTTTACGTTTGATTTTTCCACCTCTGCACGGGGCGGAATAAAAATTTCAATTATTCCACTGCAGCTGGAGTGCAAAAAAGAATATGAAAAGTGTGACATAAAACGAATGTCGTTTGTTTGTTTGCTTGCCTGATTTGTTTGTTAACTGTTTTGGCCCTGTTATTGCTTGTTGAAAAGAGCTGAAAGATGTGCAGCGGACAGTTGTGACAGGATCGAAAGGCCAATGCGCTGACAAGGACACAACTGTCCCCGCTCTACTTGCTGCTGTTGTCCACAATGCAATGCTGCGTATAATTGGCTGTTCGAGAAGACATTGACATTGTTTAAAAACATGGCTGACACTCTGCATCTGCAGTTGGACAAGTGAGCAAATGTAAACGACATCTCTCGAAGCCCAACTCCACTTGAAGGCCATTCACAATGCGAGCACAAATCCTCAAATCGCGTGTGTGCCAGACTCAGCTCAGAGTTAAATACTTGCAAATACTGGCACAGGCACAGGCACAGGCTCGCCATCTTCAATTCATAATCATGTATATTCAGAAATTGCAGCTCGACATTCTAACAAGCTGCTGCTGCTGCTGCTGCTGTCGAGCAATCCAACCCACTGCCTACGCTTCTCTAGCATCGGTGCATACTCAAACGAATGCTTATTGCAATATTTGATATTTCCGGTTCCGTTTGCCTCATTATGCTTTGCAAGCGACTTTGTATATTTTTTTATATAAATATATGTGTGTGCTCAAGACTTGTACATATTGCAGCATAAGTCAAATAAATACAACGCTGAGATTATTTGCTTGCCAGGCAGAGAGAGAGTGAGAGTGGGAGAGATGCGAGTGTTACCCTGTCCACAACTCCCGCTCTCTGGTGTATTATTGAAAATTTGTTGCATGCAGCGCACGCTAAGCGAAACTTAAATGAAATCCAATAAAATTATTGCCCCAGCAGGCATGCCTGAGCAGTTTGCCCAAGCGAAATCCTGACTCGGCCAGACCAACTGCCGGCATGTCCTTTCGCTCTGCTCACAGCGGGTGCTTAATGTGATTTGTGCTTTATACTTATTTGCGTTTCAGCTTGAGGTTGACGTTGGCGTTGGCGTTGGCTTTCTAGTTGGGGTTGGGGTTGGAGTTGGCGTTGGCTGTTTGAGGTTGAGCAACGTTGGTCGCATCTCTGTTTGTTTTTCCGCTCCGCAAATGCTCAATTCGTTCGTCTGCTCGGACCAACAAAGTGCCAAATAATTTCTAATATTATTAAGTTAATGTTTGCTGCCAACAATGGGCCATTGTTGGCCGCCTGCATTTATCATGGTATAACACAGCATAATACATAAATTAAATCAATTAGCAACTTTCCGTGCCGCCGTCTGACTTCCACTCGTTACACAGTCAGTTTCCGGCAGTTTGCTGCCACGACGCAACGTAAACAAATTAATTTTGCGGCTAGTCTCACAACTAATGGAATACTGATAGCAGCACATTATTAACACGAGACGCCCCGTTGCCAGCTTCAACTTTTTGGCCCCTGGCTCTGGCAATGCAAGCGAACAATGCACCTCTTTAATGGAGCATTACAACTGAGTTATGAAGCAGCAAAATTGTTTGAAACCGAACCGATTTTAACTGAGATTGCTCTATGCAGAGCAGACTTAACTATTTCTAAACATTTTTAGAGTAGAGATGCAACTAAACAAAGTTCCGAAAATAGTACCAAAAACTAAGGAAAAAGTCAAACTTTGACTTTGGATATTTTTATAAATATTAAGAGTATTTAAGCTTCAGCAGGCGTAAAGTAAACTTTTTGTTCCACTTGTTTCTATATGCATTTTATTTTTGTTTTCGTAAGTTGCTAAAATAAATGAGCTTTGGCTGGGGCTGTGGATGTGGCTGCTGCAAGGCGGCGCTGCACCTAAACTGAACGAACTTTCAACATGTAGACATTAATTTTGTTGCATCCGTCCATTAGGCGGGCCAAAATTTATGTTGCAACTAATTGCAGGCAGTTACCGTGCTTCCGCTCCGCCAGCTAGCGACAGACAGTTGCCTTTTTGTGTGTGTGGAATGTGTGAAATTTATCGAGCGTACAAAGTCAATGAGCATATCTGGGCATGTGCGGGCGTGCGCCATGTCTGCTCCTTATAATTGATTGCTTTCATTAAATATTGTCTGCCACACACACACACACACATGCATGCATGCTGCCGCGACCCACCTGTGGCCAACTGAGCGGCTGAGTGTGGTTAATGAAATTTGCTACGCCTTGGCCGGAATAACACAATTCATTAGCGCAAATTTTGTAAAAGCTTTAAATTTCAGCTCTCTGTGTTGCTCGAAAATGTTGAGAACTCAGCTGCTGCTGCTACTGCTGCCGGCCCTTGGACTGGGAAGGCTAAATTCCTCAGAAGTCAAACCCATACTTAATATCGACGGACTTACTTGGCGTCAACAAATCTACTATCAGTCGCGCTGTAAGCACGAGCATAAAGAGCTTATGATCGATTGGTCTTTCAATTCTTGCTTGCTTTTGCAATTCACAGGGCCTCAGCGCAAGCGCTTCATAACCACGCCAGAGCCAGGTGCCACGCCCGACCCACCCAAAATGCGCAAAGTTTATCCCTGCTACTGCTACATGCCGCCACAGCCCGGACGCAACACCACTGAGGCCTATGAAGAATATATGGTTGAGTCCAAAAATGTATTTATATTAAACAAGTAAATGGAAATACATGTATATAAAATATATTCTATAAAACATATAATTACCGAGACCAATTGCTGACGCTCAACTCGCACTTTCTTTAAAATACTTGATCTCACTTGCTGCATTGATCTACAGACATCAAACAAAACTTGAGCAAATTCCTAGCGTTAAGCTTTCTTATTAAAATTCCTTACATTATTTTGATAACTTCTAATTGCCGAGGCTCCAAACAGACGTTTCTAATAATGGCATAAGAAGCTGGTTAAAAAACAGATTGTACGTCGGAATTTGTTATTGTCCATTGTCCCTTGTCCTTTGCCCGCTGCCCGTTGTCCGTTGCCCGTTGCCAGGCAATAATTACAAATTATGCATGAAACGATGTGGAAGTGCGGACAGCACCAACGCCGACTGGTTAATTGTAAACAGCAGCAGGCAGAGGGAGGCACACAGAGAGAGGCATAGACAGGGCCTCTCTGTTTCATTGAAGGCCCTTAGCATCTCTACGCAGCATCGGCATGTTCGCAATTTAGTCATAAACAGGAGAATGGCTTTCAGCCGTCATTATGCTGATGGGTATGCAACATTGAGGCACTCAGTTTGATGTTCTCACTAACTGTTCAGTCGGGGCCACTACAACTACAAGCAACCAGGCTGTAAAGTGTGTACAAGTTGATGCCATAGGGTATACATGAGAGCAGAGGAGGGTATATTGAGAACTATTGCAACTATGAAATTGATAGCAATCAGTTTGAGTTCAGTTGAATTCTCGAGCCTCGATACGTGCTTAAGCTATGAATATAATAAATATATTATATAGATTATAGAAATTTAAGGAGACCTTTGCCTAGCTTAGGCTTGCTCTGCTGTCTACAGAGCATCGCCTAGTCAGTCACTTCGTTCGTTGTCCACTCTTTTGCTTGTGACCATTTGCAGTTGTTGTGTTAGTTTCAGTTATTGTGGTATTTGCTTGTCAAATGGCCTTGTTTATGGTAAAAGCCGTTCGGCCAGTTCCTTTGGAGGTTTTACTTTTTGGTGGCTCGCAAATATTTGTAATAAAGCGCCTGACACTTTCAGCTGATTTGGCAAATTTAATGAACGAACGAGAGCAGCCAGCTCTTTGTTATGTTGTCTGCAGACGGCGCCTCCTGGCAGCCAAGTGAATTAATTAAATATGCTCAAAGTGCACTCGTCGTTGCCTAAGTGGCGCACCGGAAAGGGAAATGCTTTCAAATTTATTGATTTGGCCAACCGTCTCGGACCGACATCAATGAAATTTTCATTAAATTGTGTAACTTGTTTTACGCTCGACTCCGACTTGGCTCTGACTTTTCCCACAGTTGCCAACTTTTGCTTTAACATTCAATTGAGAAACTTTTCCCAAAAGCGAACTATGTTCCCAAATAAAAAGAGTACAACAAAAAAGGGAACAGAATCAACTGAAAAATCTAAAAAACACGCACAAATTCTGTTAAAAGTAGTAGTGGGAGAGCACGTCATAAAGTTTCATAAGTATGTAGTGTCCATGTTAAAGTATTCAGTTTGCCGGTGCGTGATTGAAATTTGCTAACAGTTCGCCAAAGTGGCTGCGGGTGCTGCACGTGCTGCATAGAATCCAAGATCTGTGGCAGTCGTTATTATTACTGCTTCGATTGGTTCGCAATGTTTTGTCGCTGTTGCTGGATTCCTGAATTGGGGCATTGTGGCAGGACAATGGCCACGCCCAGTCGAGCTGCTTGCATTTCATATTGTGGCACAACTGCTGGAAGCAACGGCAACGGCAACGGCAACGGCAACGGCAACTGCAGCTGACAGCTGAAAATGCCGCCGAAACAATAACTATGAAAACAAATGTACAAAAACTGCGCAAATGGCAAATTTTCAGGCCATTGCAGTTGCCTTCGTTTGCCTTTTGCCTGCAAGTTATTTATAGAATGGGAAACATAGCCAGACTCAACCAGCCACCCACCCAGCCGCAAGCTGGCATTGCCCTCAAGGCTTGCCTTTGTATTGCAATTGTTTCTGACTTACTTGAAGTGATAGCTGCCATTCTCGTAGCCAAAGAATGGCACCGTGTAGGTCAGCATCCAAATGTTGCCGCCGCCGCAGTCGTAATACGGCTTCGACCATCTGCCATCCTCGTACTTTACGGCCAACGTGTCGTCCTCGATGAGTTCCTCGGTCCGATTCGAGTACAAATGAAATGCTGCAAAATATCAAGAGATGAGGGTTAATCGATAGAAATGACAGTTTGTAATCAACTATGCAACAACCGGATGCAAGTCCTAATGCAATGCGATTATGCTAAGAGGCACTGCCCACATTTTTGTTCGAGCTTCAATCGGATTGTCCCTTTGCTTCAGCTAACGACTTTCTGGGTACACTCCATGCCCTCAGCTCACGATGATGCATTAAAAATACATTTGGCAGCTCTACGCTCTAGGCACACATTAATGTGAAGTCGTATGAATTGCACAAAGAGCTATTAGCTGCTGGCAACTGCAAATTCAAATTGAACTAATGAGAGATTAAATATAGTACGAAATTATATTTGCCATAGTTAAAGTGAATTATGTAAGCATGTAATTAAATGGAACAGGCTTATGGGAACGAAGGAAGTTACATGACTTGAAAATACCCTCACCTGAAATGTAAATGGTAGCGGTATGATCGAAAGAGTACTCTATAGACCATAACTGCTTACTCTAGCATAACTGTAAGATGAGAGAGTAGCACAACTTGAATATACCCTAACCAGAAATGTAAACAATACTCATATGATAAAGTAAATGAAGTGATTTATAGACCACAATTAGTTGCCCTAATTCTCAAAATGCAAGGGAACCTTGCACGACTTGAATATACCCTTACCAGAAATGTGAACTGTATAAGTATGGGATGTGAAGCTAGCTTTTCTGAAATGTGAATTGTGCAGGTATGAGCCAAAAGTGAAGTACATTTAGAAGCTCTTGTTTAAAAATGAATGGAGTGAGCCTTGATATCTAAAAGCTAATGATTTGAAGCAGAGTCAGGAGCATGAACATGAAACAGCTTTGGATTCTTACTGCAATAATGGAAGTCATAGAACAGACGTTTTATAAAGGAGAGTATTAATCAGAAACTGATGTCTCAAGAGAATAACTTTTCATGCATTCGTTTAGGCATAATTCCACTATATATGCTGAAAGGTTATACAACAGAGACCAAAGGCACATCGACAGAAATGCAATTGAAGAGGCAGAGAGAGAGAGAGAACTGCATCTATTTATGTCATTAAATATAGATATATATAAATATTCTGATGATATAATAGTATATATATATAGTAGTATTATATATATAATAGTAATGCTTTATACTATCACTTTAGTTATGCACAAAGTCAAAGAGAATTGATTTCAATCGACAGTTAAGCTCTTCATTTGCAATACTTAATATTCAGTGTGAATTGACGGTTGTTGATGTCGCCTAAATAAGGTTGATGGCATTTATTTTTCATGCTACTGGCCAAACTTGCAACAGAGAAATAATAATAGATTTCAATTGAAACATTTGCGTAAATATTTAAAGGTGTCACAGTCCATCAAATCGTAATGGCAGCCAAGGCAGAAACGGCAAGTGGCGAGAATGGAACATCTGTGCGATGGCTATAAAAGACGTCTATGGGTTTAGGCCATGCTCAAAAGTGCTGGCACCGTTGGTCATGGCATCCACATTCAAGCTAATAAAGCCGGCACCACTCACCGAACGGGTGCGCTCCCGTGAGGGCTGCATCTACATGTATCGAGGCATGTGGATAATTGGCTGGTTGCCACCGAAGTCGGGCGTTTGGCGGTATGTTTATCTCATCTGGACCTTTACGACCTTCTTCTTTGGGGTCTTCTATCTGCCGGTGGCATTTGTCATCAGCTATGTGCGCGAGTTCAAGAACTTTGCGCCCAGCGAGTTTTTCACCTCTTTGCAGGTGGCCATCAATGTGTATGGCGCGTCGGCCAAGTCCCTGATCACCTACAGTTTTCTGTGGCGGCTGAGCAAGACGGAGACCTTGCTGGACAGACTGGACGAGCGTTTGCTGAACGACGAGGACCGCCAGAAGATACACAATGTGGTGGCTCGCTGCAATTACGCCTTTCTGATCTACAGCTTTATCTACTGCGGCTTTGCGGGCTCCACATTCCTGTCCATGGTGCTGAGCGGCAGTCCGCCGTGGGCCATTTACAATCCGTTTCTGGACTGGCGCGACGGCATGTTCAGCTTGTGGGCGCAGTCGATATTTGAGTATATTACCATGTCCTTTGCGGTGCTGCAGGATCAGTTGTCCGACACCTACCCGCTGATGTTCACGCTCATCTTTCGCGCCCACTTGGAGGTGCTCAAGGATCACATTCGAAATTTGCGCATGGATCCCAGCAAGAGTGAAAAGGAGAACTACGAAGACCTGGTCAACTGCATAATGGATCACAAACTCATCATTAGGTGGGGCAAACAGTCTTTAAAGTCAGCTCAATTGGGTAATCTCTTCCGTTCTGCCAGATGCTGCAACTTGATTCGCCCAATCATATTTCGCACCATATTTGTGCAGTTTCTGCTCATTGGCTTGGTGCTCGGCCTCACGCTGATCAACATATTCTTCTTCTCGAACTTCTGGCAAGCCGTTGGCTCCATTTTGTTTGTCATCACCATACTGCTGCAGACGTTCCCCTTTTGCTACACCTGCAATTTGCTGATTGACGACAGCGAGGACTTGGCCAACACGATTTTCCAGTCCAACTGGACCGACAGCGAGCCGCGCTATAAATCGACCTTAGTCAACTTTATGCATCACGTACAGCAGCCCATTATCTTCATAGCAGGCGGCATATTCCCCATCTCAATGAACAGCAACATAAGTGTGAGTATAGCGGCGTGAGTAGGCCAGAGTACGATAAATCCAGTAAATCTCTGTTCCGGCAGGTGGCCAAGTTTGCATTCAGCATTATTACCATAGTGCGGCAAATGAATCTGGCAGATCAGTTCCAGTAGAAGGCTAAAGGCTAAAGGCAAAGCGGATCGACTCTGCCCCACTGTGCATTGGCAGCACTTTAGGGCTTATCCTCTCTTGTATTAACGTAAATTTTCATCTTTATTTATTGCACCCTTAAACGAGTCTGGCGCGTGCCAAGTGCTCGTCTGCAATTGCCTCTAATACGAGCTCCCCCTAGTAAAAAATGTAAACCAGAGTAATAGACAAGCACACACACACACACAGACACACTCAGGCCCCTCTGGATTCGACATTGTTTGTGGCTGGCATTTGCATAGAATTTGTATATGTTATAGTTTATCTTATAAGATTTAGCTGATTTAGTTGTGCTCTGCAATTGCGAGGCCCGAAATGGTAATGGAAATGAAAAACCACAAGCGGACGGAATACGATTCCCAAAGGGGCGGGGTAAGGCGGGCGGGGGCAACATTTGCAAATTGTGTTAACAGACGGAAATTACAAACGAGAAATGAGAAACAAGAAGTCTGCCAATGCCAAGACATAATCAGGACACATAAAAAGAGCAAAAAGTAAAGAAGCCGAAAGAGCAACTCCCTGGGCAACGTGGCTCTCGCAGGAAGTGCTACGCACATACATATTACTGTTTACATATTGTATGTGATTTTTATTTAAATTTTATGTTAAACACGTGACGGGCAGACAGCAAAAATCATATATATATGCTTTACTATATACTCGTATTCAGTTATAGAAAGTAGCAACGGAACCAGACACGACGACGACGACGTCGACAGCAGCAGCAACAACAAAGGCCAATTCAGCTGCCGAACAAAATACAAATATTATGACATATTTTTGCGGTTTCTTTTTTTTTTTTTGGCACACAAACACACACATAGACACCCACACATATGCACACATAAAATGGCACTTAAATGCAGCTGCTTAAAAAAATGCATAGCATTTAGATGCGGTGCATGGAATTTGTTATTATGCTATAATTAAGTTGGCATTTTTCACACTCGAAGTTGGACTTGCATGGCTAGCATATTTTGTCGACATGCCCTGATATCTTTTATATATATGTAAGAAATTATATTACAAGGCTGCTTGACTGTTTTGAAATTCAAGCAATATTTTATCTATCAATAATTATCTTGCTCAAGCCTTCTAGTCAGATGTTAAAATATCTAAATACTTTATATATATAAAGTAAATACCTTATACATTTAAAGTAAATACTTTCTATATAAGAAGTTTAAGCAAATACAACTTTAATACACAGCTTAGATCATATAACATATGTCAATTAATTTAAATAGTTTTCAGCCTTCGGCATTTTAAGCCTAATGGCCAACAACTTAATTATTTTTATATCAATTTGCATTGAAATTCCACGCTGTTTACAAACTAAATTAATTTCTTAATGTATTAATTTATTGAATATGGAAAATAACACTGTGCAACGTGAAATTGAGCTGTATGTTGACGGAGCGAGCGAGGGTTAAGAGCAGCAAAGCGAAGCACAGCAGTTTAACAAATTCCATAAAATATCTCAATGATTCATAAACATTTTTCAAAGATATTTAAAGAAGCTGAGCAATAAGCTAACAAACTCTAATGCTTACTTGAAATATTTAACTACATTTCACCTATAATTTACCAAAAACCTGACCTATTAAGCAACCATTTTTGTTGGGCTGTGTAAATGAACACAGCTTTTTTTGTAGCTTCAAATATTTCAAATAGCAGAAAGCATGCAAATCAAGTCTCATTATAATGTGTAAATAGGTGGCACAACATAATAATATTGTTCTACATAAATTATTAATTTAGCTACATTCCTGTGTATGTAGTTCTAATGAAGTGAAACGCATTGTGCCAACTGAATTCAAACTCAAATTGATATTTGGGCCGTACGAGTAGTAAATGTTGTGCAGTTGGGCAATTGGGCAATTGCCCATTTGGCCATTTGGTCGCCATAAACGTTGATTATTGCACATTAAATGCATTGAATGGAAATTGAAATTGATTTTGATTTTGATTTTGATTTTTTCGGCAATTATAATTAATTGATATGCGTCTTTTATTTATGTTTGATAAAGCCATTAAGTAAACTCTGGCAATAATTACGCAATTTATTGCTGATTGCGGCGCAGCAACGCGAAAATAAAATTAATTATGGTACGGCAAAAATGGAATCACTTCCTTTAATGGGCGCTCATTTCATTTGATTTCATTTTATTATATTTCTTTTTCTTTTTTTTTTTTGTTACCGGAAAAAGCGTTCGATAATTGCTTAAAAAATGGCATTGGCATCACAATCGTGTACACCGCAAAAATATAATCAAATTAATTGCGCATGAATTGGCCGGCAATTTGTTGCGGCTGCAAAGTATTTATGTATTTTTGTCAGCTGGCGTGAGAAAATCCCTGAAAATTTAATAAATTTCCCTGCTGCTTGCCAGCCAGCCAGCTAGCCATCCATTCGAGACAGCGACTTTGCGCCAAGACAAAGTTTTGCCAGGCAAACTTGAACGCGGCCACCAGCAAGGACCAAGACTGCGGCTAAACCAAGTTCAAATATGTAAATGCATATAAATTGAAAGTCAGCTACGTTATGCAGATATTCCAACGGCAACCATGCCGACCTTAAGACGCAATTTAGCTGCCTCTGGTGTCGAGTTATTCTGAAATGCCTCCTATATACATACACACACACACACATATACACACATACAAACATACAGATGTGACTGAACGTAAATCATAGTTCATAGTAGTGGCTATGCCGTGAGGCATCTTTCGCATAAGTTTTACAACTCAGCGAGGTCACTGTTTGCCATAGATATACGAATTCGCTGTCAACACACACAAACACATGCGCACATACACACACACACACACACGCGCACTGTTGCATGAAGCCTATTGAATTCGCTGAAATCTTGGTTTAGAATTTATCATTTTTATTTCACTTTTATTTGCCTTTGAACGAAGGCTGACCAGGCAAGAGTGATACCTTTTTAAATAATTCTATTTCAGCAACTGTTTAATTTATTTAAAAACTATTTACACATTTTGCAAGCTTAGCCATTTGATTATAAATTATTTAATATGTGGAATTATTTAAAAATATGGGATGTGAGAATTTCTTAAAAATTTAGCAAAATGCTGACGCAATTCTGGCCGAGCAGCAATACAGTGTCTTGAATCTTAATGGATATTGGTAATATATAAAGCATACGTAGAAGTCATAGAAGTCAGTTTTCTAGAGGAAATATCGATTCGGAGATGTTGGTTGCTGTCAGCTAAGGCAGCCAGTTGAATAATTTGCCATTTCTTACACAGAGTCACTCTGAACCAGAAACAACGAAATATCTTAGTTTTTGGTCTTTTTTAGTTTTTGCATATGTTTCTATTGCCTTTGCCAGATTAACCTGTATAAAGTTATGCTATTGAAGGCAGACAGCGCAATCCAAAATGAACAAATATTTTTTTCTCATGTCTCACATGATAGAGCTTATGAAAACTATTAATAAAAACATTTGGGACTACATTTTAGATAAATTACTAAAAAATCAAGTGATGCAAGAACTGGTTTTTCCTCGCCATCAAGCACGCCAGGGCATGGGCCGCACACAGACGACATGCCGAATGGGTTTTGCCTAATATTTGGTCTACAAATAATATTTCAACGAGTGTTTGTTTTTTTCCAATTACCCCCGTAACGGCGGCAAGCAAACAAACGAACCGATGAAAGAACGAACAAATGAATTTTTATCTGTGGCAAATGGGCGCGGCGCTGCCCGGCTTTACCCGCCCTTTGTTTGCCTGCCCCAAGCAGGCTGCAATTTGCGGCGGCTACTGGAAAACGTGGCATTAGTATGCAGTGGCATCCAGTGCGGGCGTCATGCAGCCTAAGCGTCTGCGTGTTTGTTTTCAATTCCGTTTGTCTGCTCTGCCTTTCTCACTCACTCACTCTCCCTCTCTCTCTCTCTGTTTCTACAATATTTGAATGTTTGAGAAAGACAACACATGCAATTTGTTTGCAGCTAGAAAACGCTGTCTGCCATGCTAAGTAACACAACGTGGCTCGCGTGCACAAATTGCGCATACGCGCCGTATGACGTATATATATCTATATATATATACATGTATTTGCTGTTTGCCTGCAGCCGAACGGGCAAATAATTTGCATACCAACATGAGCAGCCGACATGGCAAACACGACACGACACGTGGCGTATACGTAACCTTTAATTTACAAAATTATGCATATCGAAATGTGTCCCTACCATCGACTTGCATTAAAGTCTGAGCGAGTGTGTGTGCGTGTGTGTATGTTAACTGTTGAATAAATGAAAGCATTGATTGACGGACGGATTGATTGACTAATTAAATGTAATGCGAGCAAATTACGAACTGTGAACTACTTTTAATGCACTGATTGATGCATGTCAAACGTTATTTTACGCTCAGAGCCAGAGCCAGAGCCAGAGCTTAAGCGCGACCGTATCCTTTCAGAGTTAAGCTCTGATTGAGTGCTGCTAGAGTTAGGCGTATTTTAAGAGCTGGCATCTGACGATACATGCAATTCTTTGTTTTTTTCGTCCCAGGTGCGTATTCAAGAATCACAGCTAATTAGAAAGGCTGTGCCGACTTTTGGGCTATTCATTTACATTTTAAGTGGCCTGCTTCTACACACAGAGATACCCACACGCACACACAAATATATACACATAGCAATTTGAGTCAGAGCCGGCATTTTCTTTCTTATTTATTTGCTTAATTGTTGGGCTATGATAGAAATTTGCCCAACTGGCAATGATAAAGCGACAGTAAAATATGCGACTCTAAATGGATAGCAACGGCATCGCAATTAGGCAGCAAAAGCAGAAACAGAGTCAGCAACAGAAGCTCCCTTTTATGGCCTGGTGGCGGCTCCCTTGGCGACTCGGCTAAGTGTCCCCGATGTCGTCTGGACAGTGACTAATGAAGTCGCAGATTAAAGCACGCAGCAAATATAAATATTCAATGCCATACGCGTGTTATACGACTCTCTCGCATCGAGGCATAAATAAGCGCTGGCCCCAGTCCACAAAGGGTGCATAAATCAGTGGCTACTTACATTTCAGGTACTGCTCGTTGCGTGCTATCACTCGCTCGGCGTTCTTGCGCGCCAGAAAGAACCATTCGGAGGTGTTGCCCAGGTAATGGTACTCCATCGCCAGATCCTTGGCGAGAATGGCGCCCAGATTCGGCGGCGGCAGTCGATAGGCAAACGGACAGAAGAGGCCCGGCTGCGCTGGATGTTCGTTCCAATCAAAGCAATTGCCCGCCGCAAATATATCATCATCGAATTCCACCATGGACAGCACCGAGGCGTGCAGCAAGTTGACATCTTCCTGCACCGAATGCGCCGTCGTCTTGAAGATTCTGCACGGAAATGGAGAAATGCGCACAATTATAGCAGTTGAATTTACGAGCATATTACAACTCAAGCGAAAATTGCATTAAAAATCCATAGCACAGAATATATATATATATATAGTGTTCTGTTGAGTCATAGATTAAAGCATACCAACAGTGGGTGGCTTGGACGAGGCTTGTTATTGTTTGCACGGTCTGCCCGGGCTGCCTCTCATTTTGTCGGGCTGTCATTTATATTTTTATAACTGCTTGTTTGCAGCACCACTGCCCCACCATTGGCCCACCACTGTCCCACTGTCTCCTCTGCCGAATTGCCATGGCTGTTGTTCCGGCCAGGTCCTGGGCTGGGCCCAGGGCTCTAACACAAGTGCACTTATAGGCGCAGCGCATTATGCTGCTTCAAGCTGTGCTCAAGTGCTCCAAGCGCTGCTAGCTGCTCGCTGCTCGCTGCCGGCAGCGGCTATTGTGTGCCACTAGCTCTCTGGGTGTTGCAAACTAGGTGTGTGACTGTCTGTGTGTGTGTGTTTGTAAAAGTAAACGAGAATATTGCGTTCAAGATTGTGCCTTAAGTGCCCGGGCCGCCCGTCGTCAATCGCCCACTGCCCGCCCCAGGCCTCAGGTCCTATCTCCGACGTCTACTTCGGGTCTCTGGGTCGGTATTAATTAAAATGTCACTTTAACATAACATTTCCTTTAGGCAACAACAAAAACCACAGGCAGCTACCGCTCACCCCAATTCCCGCTGTTCGACTTATAGACCAAAACTTGGAACGGGACTGCAGAATGGTCAAAATAAAATTCTGTTAATATGCATAAATAATTGTTTGCGGTCGCAAAAGCATCTCTCTCAGCAAGCCAGCCAGGACGAAAGCTTGTTTGTTTAACAGGCAGACAAACTTATGTTAAACTTATTAAGGTATTTGTCTGTGTGTGTGAGTGTGGAGACTTAAAACTTGTTGGGCAACTATGCTTTAAATGGGAGCTAGGGCATAACATGTGCTTATATTTGACTAGAAATTTTAGTGTAATTTCATGTATTTAATTTCAATTTATTTTATAAATAATTTAAGTTTTCAGATGCTTTTATTATGCAGTCAAAATTGTATCTATATATCAATTATATTTTTTCTAAAATTCAATTAGAGTGGGTAAGTTCTATGCTGATGCAGAGCTAGACTCTATATACTTTGGACCATGGTGAATACTTTTGAATAATTTTTAATTATATATATAAATGTAATTTCACTTGAAGACATCTAGGACACAGAACTTAAAAGGGAAGCTGCTGATTAAGTATATATCTATATAAAGAATAATATCTGTCTCTCATTCTGCCTCTTTTCATAATCTAACTCCCAATACTATAGCCAAATACAGGGCATCTTAAAGTCTTTTATTCACTACAATATTCATCAACATTGTTTGCGGCCTTCATATAAAGTCTTTGAATAAAGTTCAAAGTAAATAAATTTGATATTTTCTTGCAAAATTCGATAGATAAATTGAAGTAATCAGATAAACTAAACAGAGTATGACAAATTCAAATACATTTTAAGTTTGTTATTCGATTTCTTGTTAAACTCAAAGAAATTTATAAAGAAAAACAATTTGTTGCTGTGGACTTATTACAAGATGCGGCAGCATTCGGAATTCCAGTCAAGCATTCCTAAGCGCGTTTGTCAATATCAATCAAAACTTTATTTATTTTAGGCGACTTTGGGTTAACACAGCCAAGAGCTTCACATATCGTAACTAGTTAATGTGGTATGGTGTTGACTTCATTTTCCAATGGAAAATTTGTGCTTAGCCTAATGCTTGTGCGTGATTTTGACACGCGCGCTAACGGGGGGCGTGGCTCGTTAATTAGTTGATCTGTTGCGAGGTTCATTTGTAAATGTCAGCCACATTTTGTCATTTCGAACGGCCCCCGTCAGAGTTGAAAAGTCGCTCGCAGGCTCAACAAAAAACTTGAGGCTGGCTAATGATGATGATGATGGTAATGATGATGCTGACTCTGCAATATAGCCCGCACAGCTTCCAGTTCACGCTCACACATAATTTACGGCCACACTTGCCCGCTTCGAGAACAGGCACGGAGCATATAATGGATGTGGATGTGCGACATATGAGTGGCTGTTAGTTGCAATGTTTAATTAGCTGTCCACAAGTAACTGAGCAGCAGCATGATAAACTACAGCTCTCTCTCTCTCTCTCTCTCTCTCTCTCTATCTAGCTGTTTTTCTATATGTCTCCAGACTACTTGAACTCTGCGCAAAGTGTGGCAAGTTTTAAGTAACTGCAACAGAGCCTGTTTTTTTGAAAAGTGTGTTAAAGACACTTTGCGCTCACTCGAGTGTTGAAAGGGCAAAACAAGCACTAAGCTGCAAGTGCATCAGCCAGGTATTTAAACATACAAACAGACACACAGACAGCTGGACAGGCCAAAGTGCCAAAGCTGTTGTTGTGCCTGCTATTGCAAGGAAAGTAACGCTGCAAGTGCAGGCAGCACAGCATCTCCCTCTCCCTCTTTCTCTATGTCTGTCTATTTGTGGGCGTTAGGCAACCAGCATTTTTAATGACTTGCTGCTGTTGGTGCCTTTGAAAGAAGCTGACATTTAATTAAAAATCATTGACCAGCAGCAGCAGCAATACAGATAATTGGGCTGCTTATCAGCTATCCGCTTGTCAGCACATCACACAGTCCGCAGGCCACAGATTCCACTTGTGTATTCATATTATGAGTCTCTATGACAGTCAAAATGGCGCCTAAGCCGCCATGAGCCGCGGGCCATGTTGCTTATTTGTTTTGCATATGGTGTCCGCGCCCATCTCCAACGCAGCTCAAATACATATTACAAAACTTGCGAAAGCTGGGATAAGTACGGGGCGCCGAGCAGCAGCCCACAGCGAGCGAGAACAGCGAACAACGAGCTGAGAACAACAAAGTGAACAGCAGCAGGCATTTAAGCCGCTTTTTATTTGACTTGAGAAGGCCGACAAGCAGCTGACACAGGACCTGACGTTACCCGGCCTGGGCCTACATAACGTATATAATTTACAAATGCCAATTTGCTTTAAAGCTGCTGCCAAGGCCGCTCTGTGAGCCGCTGTTAATATTGATTTCTTTTCGCACAAGTCAGCAATATCACACATAACTCTGATGTCTTTACGCTTGATGTTTCAAATTTCATTCAATTATTTCCATTATTTCGCCTGATTCGTAAAAACCAATTAGTCATGAACGCGAAACCTAAAAGCAAAATTGGAAAATTAAATTCTCATTGCGGCACCTGCAAGAGACCGCGGATCAGCAAACACAAAAAAAAAACAAATCAAAGCAGCTTGAGGCCATCTTCGACATGCAAATACAAACGCAGACGAGCAAACGTACACGCTTCATACTCCGCACTCCAACTTCGGCAAGGACACACTTTGACGTGTCCTTGGGCAAGGCCCAAGCGCATGCGTGTGTGTGAGCCTGGCACGCTTGCTGTTGACTTTTTAATTGAAAGCGAAATGTTTTAGTTTAATTATTCAAAGCTCACCGTTGCGCATGTTTGGCGTGCAACGTCTGCTCCGTTGGCTTGCACGGATCAGGGCAGGCAGCTAATACGGAAAGTGCTTGGCCCTGGCCCTGGCCCTGACCCTGTCCCTGACGGGCGTGGCCTTTGTCTTAGCCTTTCGCCTTTTGTTGCCAGCTTCCTGCTTAATGTGGATTTCAGTCCATAACAGCCAACGAGCATGGCCTTTATCAATATTAATTAGGCCATAATCATCAAATTGGAATCTGATTAGAGTGCGATTTAACGTAAATTGTTGCCAAGTAATGTCTTAACCTAAGCCTCTGTCACTTTATATGCAAACTTTCAATAGCGCACGTGGCATAGATCAACAAAGAATAAATAAATAAAATTTAGTGACAATTGAAAATCAATAACCCAGAAGTTAATGGCAAAAATACCTTTGAAAGTTTGCAAAAATAAAATTATTATTTGTATTAATTTTTTTACAATTTTAAAATCTTTTACATTAACTTTTACATGTGCAACAATTTCTAAAGAACAGATTAACTTGTGGATAATATATAAAGCCTCCTTTTCCTTTTCTCTCTTCATCTCTCTCTCTCTAGATAAGATTATATAAATTTAATAAAATATACTTAAGCAAACTTCTAGCTTAACATTTTAAATCTCTAAACTAATTCATAAATCATTCAACACCTACATAATCCCCGCCCGGGATTCAGTTCCTAAAGCTCATTGTCGTGCTGACTAAACAACTTCAATGAAATAATATAAATTATACCTTAATATATTATATATTAAATTCATTTTTCATTTACTATTTTTATTTTCTATTTATACAAAAGCGAGCAAAACTAATTTATTTATATTTTATATTGCATAAATTGTTTCACATGCGCCAAACTTCTGCAAAGTTTCTTAATTATTGCGAAAAAAGCTTTTAGCATTTTGCCGTTCAGGCTTATGTTGTCAGCCCCATATGCAGAGTTGGGTATCGATTTCAGTGAGAAAGGAGCCAATTACTGGGGCACTTTTTGCACTTACGCATTTCCCAAATTGCTCCTCGCACACCTCATAGATGTTGTCTTTAGAAAGCAGCTAATTATTGTAGCCCTTTTAGCTTTTACACATTACCTAAGCTACTTTTAAAATATATATATATATATATATACTGCTATAATTAGCACAGGAAATTGAAGCTTAATTAATTAAAAATTGTGGGCCCAGCTCCAAAGGGTTTTACTTTACTCCGTGATGCTGCGTGGCCGTGTGGCATGGAGCCAAGTAAATGACTAAATGAATCAGGAGCAGAGCAGTTGTTGTTGACATGTTGCTGCAAGCCGCAAGCACATACTCCACACACACACACAGAGAACCCCCATTTGCTTTGGCTTTTATATTTCTTTTGTGTTTGGATTTTTGAAAAATGTTTTTTTGATTTAGTCCGTTAATTGCTTTCAAGTTGGCAACTTCTGTGCTCGC